CCTGCTGACGTGGCCGCCCCTTTTTTTTTTTTTTTTTTTTTTTTTTCTCCTCCTTTCCGGGTGCTACATATAAAATAAAAATTATTACAAAAATAGTAGTTAAAAATGAACAAATGCATTCACCAATTTCCTAAAGAAAACATATATAAATTGTGATAATTGTGCTTGATCGATAATTCTATAAATAATTGTATAATTGAAGAAAATTTTCAAAATAATTATATGTGCGTAAGATAGTGTCTGTCAAACTTCCAATAAGCTGCTCAACTTCTGCTATACCCCCTTTCATTTCGTTTAATTCTTTGAATTCTTACGGAGCCAGGGCTGCACTAGTTCCACTTATGTGTGTGTGTTTATTTATATATACATATATATATATACACACACACACACACACAGACATACATATAAACAGAACACAACTCATGGTAAATTGTGTTTGAAACTCTTTTAGATCTGAATAGATATTATTTAATGCACCACAGAGAAACAGTGGTCAAATAATTCAGTACCTGAGGAAATCCTCATATTTGATTCTATGTACTTTTCTCTTTATAAAAAAAAAAAAGGTCTCTTATCACTGATATATGGTTTGCTTCCCTTTTTTTTTTTATTTTTTCTCTTTTTCTGTTGCATAGTGAGATTTTGATGTTTCACATAATTGAATCTTTCTTTTATTTTCTGATCCACATCTGCTTTCTTTCGTTTTCTTCTTCCTTTTCTCTTTCCATGGATGCAAAGGATATAGAGAAACACTCTTGCCATTTCCATAATCAATTCAAGGCAATCGGCACGGCGCAAATAATTTTTCAATACTTTGAATTGAATCTAAAGCAGCAAAAGAAGATGTTTCATTGATAATTATATAAATAATATTAGCCACTCTCATTCTAGCCAATACAATACCGTCATGGAGTGACAACAATAGCGGTACAAAACCGTATTCAACTCATCGTCATACTTTAATATATTTATAAATAAAAGTTATAACCCCAAGGAAGACAAACCCAGTACAAAACCCAAAGAGAACGTACTAACTATATATATATATAAATATATATGTAGAGTTAGTGCCCCTTGAGTAGTTTCAGTTGAAAACAAGTATTTGATGTGGTAATTAGAAGTTTTGAAGTTCAAGGGCACTTGGGTCCTCCTTCCTTGGTCTTCCAATTGTTGTAGCAAGGGCACACAGCCTTGTTACCATAATAACCAGGTGGTACACACAGACATTTCCTGCAGCATTTCTGACAGAAGAACATGCATGGCTTATGGTACTGAGTCCTCTTACATCTCCTCGTGCATTGTGATGGGCATTCTGGTCATTTCATTCCCCATAATAAATAAATCAATAATTTCTTTCTTTTTTTTTTTTAGAAAAAAAATGAAAATTTCCATCATTTTGCCTCTGAAAATGGTCAAACTTTCAGTCTTGGATTCCTTTCTCTACTACTCTTACCTACTGTATCTAGTGACCAGCATTATTACCTGAGGAGTTCGACCTTAGTTTTGACCAGCAAGACAGTGGTCAATTTCAAATTGTTGAAGAAATTTAATTTTTTATTTAGTCTCCAATATGGGTAATTATAATTATAAATCTGTCATCTCAAAATCAAAATGGGTATTTGGAAGGTCTTAGAATATTCCTTGTTTAACCACAGGAAAGTAAACCAGAAGAGATGAAAATGAAGATGTACTTACGGTAACTCCTGAGACTCCCAGGTCCATAATGTTTCTGGCATTACAAACAAGCATAAAAATCAAACTGCATCAGCAAAAACAATTTCCTTTGATCTACAAACATGTAATCTAATGTCAAAAAAAGAGGGAGAAAAGATTTACTCTGTCATAGTGATGGCCTCCTTGCCCATGTGCTGCCATGACCTGCACAATGCCAAACAATCAAATCAGCTATCTCTGTTTTCTCTTCTCTGAGAATTGAAGAAATGAGAAAATAAGGGTTGTCACCATGGCTTGGAGCATCGAGATAGCAAAAAGAGCTAAAAGCAAGACAGCTGCAAACTTAGCCATTCTGCTAAAAAAAAAAAAAAAAAAGCAAACCCCTCTCAACCAGTGAATCACAATAACCTAAATTGATGAGGAAGAAGGAGAGGGGTTTGATAGTGTAGTAATGCTGTGCGAAGGGTATATATAGAGCTGGTGGGCTTAATAATTGTCACCTGCACTAGGACAAATAGCCTTTACCATGGTCTTTCCTCTTGATATGCGACACATGGCCTGTCTCCTTTCTTTTATTTATTTATTTATTTTTGTCTTAAAGGTTAATGCTATAAAATTATTATTTTTTATTAATTATATAATACATATGCAAAAATGACTGTTGTCGATTGTCATATTCCATTAAAGAGGTTAAATTTATGTCCACTTTGCATTATTAACTGGAGGTCAATTATAAGTCTGAAGGCAACAGATTGTACAGCCTATCCTATCTCTCTCAAGGTGACAAAGAAAATTAAATGTCTAAGTTTAGAACAATATATAAACAAAGTAGATTTTGTTTTTACCCCCACCCAGACGGGTCTTATCGTTTTCACTACATTCATTGACTGGTATGTACAGTACCATAGAAAATGGTTTAGTTTGGTATAGCAACCGGTAAGTCATAATGATTATAATAATATATGTTGTATTTTATTACTTTATATAATGTCTATATCTTCTCAATATAATTTATATAATGTATATTCCCTTTTTTAATAATCGCCATGATGTATATTGATTGAACATGTGATGCGCATTTTCAAGATTCGGGCAGGGTAACTATAAATTTTTTGCGTTTTAGAATATTGTTCAGAAAAAAAAAAAAAAAAAAAAACTGAGGATATGCATCCTTAATTGAATTATTAATATCTTAAATATACTTACAAACCGTGATATTAATTAATTTATTAAAATTATTGTTCATATAATTGCATTAGTGAACGTGGAAATCTAGTTATATGTAAACAGTATTATCAAAATTAACATAATATAATTTATCAAGTACTACCTTAATTTTTTTACCAAAATTAATAAAACTAAGTAGGGTGCTAATTTTGGTACTATTTTATCTTTTAAATTTTTACTGCAATAATTTCCAGTAACATGACTTTAGTGATAGCTACAAATTAATATTCTTATAATTAGTGCAAAAATAAAACAAAATTTCCAGGCCAATATGTACCAAATCTTCTCGTGAAGTTCTATGAAATACTGGTTTTTCTTTTTATTATTATTATTTATGATTGTTATTTTAGTAAGTAAGTTTTAAAATATTCTTATTCATAAAAATGTTATCATATCTTTTAAAGTTACTAAAATAACTCTAATATCAATTTTTATATATAAATTATTATTGAATAAAACCAACTTGTGTAACGATAACATAGGTAATCGCAGGTAACAGTCAATCTCAAATCTACACCCATGCTCTTATATTTTATTTATTACTTTTTGCCTAAAATTTAATAACTTATGTGTTATAGCATCATCCAAAATAAAGTTAGATGATCAATCTGTGTTTATATTGGGTAGTCAGTCTTAATTTAAATCCATCACCCACAAGTCCTACTTCATCTCGTTAAACTATAATAGTCACGTGCCTAACCATATTCAAGATAAATATAAATATTATTGAACTATTTTAGCATTTAAATTAACTTACAGTTATAGTGATCTATATCATTTACTGAAGAAAAAATGCTACTACACATTTAAAATGTGATAAATTTGTACAATATTTTGTTAAAATTAATTTTTTAACTATACATCCCCTTAAAAAATTGAATCATTCAAATTTGCAGTAACCAAGTGATTCAAAAATATTTTTACCCGTTTTCAAGTTTTCTCTTCGGTTTAATGATTTCTTTATAATGTTATCACTGTTGAGATTTCTTTAGTTCGTACTCACCTCATTTCTACTTCGCATAAGTAAACTATAATTGCTAAGAGAGCGTCTCTCAAACTCCAAATGTTTAATTCTTAGGGTTTGTTAGTATCTTATCATAGTTTTCATGTGGTTGTTCATATGTCTATATAGCCATAGGATGTGAATCTTATATTTATCTCATCAACAATTTCTCTTTGTCTGTTTAAAGAGGAATCTTTCATATGCAATAATTTATAAACTCACACCATGTTTGCGTTGCACTACTATGATAATATTTGTTTTTAAGATTTATTTGGGTATAATACATTATTTTTGTGTTCTATTTTTGGCATAAAGGAACCATATCCTGATTTATGATTAATAACTTACAGTTAATAACATGTCCATAGGGCATACTTTTTTTTTATTGGAAACTTAATTTAGAATGAATAAGAACTTTCAAGAATTATAATATTATTTTTTTATATTCACAGATGTTTCGAATGAAGTTTCAAAATATCTCATAAGATGCATATTATATAATTTTTCGTATCCCTAAATCTCATAAGAACCATAAATTTCATGATATAATGGGATTGTTCCGAGAAACGTGAATTTTGATACCAATTATAATAGTTTGAACTCTCATATATAACCCTTACTACATGGACACAATAAAATAATAAAATATTTAGAAAATATAATCTTATACAGTTGTCTAAATTAAAAAAGTTACATTATTTGCAATGTTTTATCTAATTATCTCACATTCATGAGGCATATCTAATATCAAAAAATAAACTTGTGACAAAAGAAATAAATAATTTTAAGTTCTTGATAAAGTTAATTAAATAAATATCATAATAATTATATTAATGTTCATGAGCGTGATCATGTGTATGTTGATTTAAAAAAGAGAAATAATTAATACAATAAACTAGTGCGCTAAGTAAGTAAATAAGTACTACAAATAATAAAGTAACATATTTAAATATATAAAAAAACATAAAACAAGTGATGATGAAACTTTAAAAATGTTTTTATATTTTATTTAAAAGATAGTTTTGCTTTATTGCTTGGTATTATTTATTTATTGTCACTGATATTGCTAAAATCATAAAATTGCCACCAAAGTTTAACTGAATTATAAATAAAAATATTAGAGTAATTTGTGAAAATAATATATTGCTATAATAATTTAGATTGTAGACTATTATGATGTATTGGTAAAAAAAAAAATAAATTATTCTCACTTGAATACTCAAACTTATTGTACTCAGAGTTCATCCATCAATAAAAGATGAACTTTCCACTATTAGTTCTTTCATTCTCAGTGATACCAAAAAAAAAATAGTGTGTTTTCATTTTGAGAGAATAATAATTTTTATCTTTAAAAAATAAATATATTTTAATTATGGAGGAAATTAATACTTTGAATACATTGTCTTAATTTTATCTATTTAAAATTTAAATTAATATTTATAATAGTTATTTTATGCTTAAATAAATATAAACATTTGAACAAAGTTTTTTAAAATTTTCATTTATTCTAAACGTGACGGCAACAGTAAAAGATGGAAAGAAGAAGAAAAAAAAAAAAAAGAAAAGAATTTACACGTGAATTTCTGAAACTTTTGTGTTCCTGAGATCTCAAGAAAGAAAAAGGTTATGGTTGGAAAATTAAAATGTATACATAATTAATTTTCTATATATATATATATATATATATATTTAAAAAATTATATTATTATTAAAATATTAAAGTTTTAATTATATATAAATTTTCAATTGAAAAACTTCTTAATGCGTCTAAACGAGTTTTTATGTTTACGGGGGGAGAACGGTGCATTGAAGACGAGGTGACGGTAGTGTCAAAAAGTTAGTTAAAGTGGTTGTGGATAAGGGCCCCACAAGGACAGGACAATCAATAGTCAAGATAAAACTGGATTTCTGAAAAAAGAAAATATTAATAAATCTTTTTTGAAGTGGCTAATCACTTTATTGTTAATTTTTTTTTTTTTTTTTAAAAATCAAATTGTTTCCGAACGAAAGAATAAAATCTTGTCTCATTGCATGTGCAGCTACTGAGCAATCACGTGACCCAAAGCTACGCTGCTTTGACAAAAGTGCGCACCGTGCGCTGTACACCATCCGCCCCTTTCTACTTTTTGCTCCGTGTTTGATTACACTCGCTCCGAGATCACCGACATCATAATTACCCGCTGAATTTAACTTTACGGGATAATACATTGTTTATGCTCTTAAATTATTCACAAAGCCTGAACTTTCAAAAGTAATAATGATACTAACACACTTTCATTTCAATTTAATTATTACATTCTATTAAGGTGGTGGTACAATATGCGTAAAACATTTGTTCTGTCAAATACTCTTTATCTTCCAAGATTATTTGCTAACCTATTCTTTGTTAGTCAATCAGGTGATAAAAATTACTAAATCTACTTTTTTCTTCGTGGGTGTGACATACAACATTTACAAACTCGAAAGATAAACGAGCAGGGACATAAAAATTGGTAGATTTAGTTTTTGAAAAAACCTCCAACGACTATTTTTTTTTATTTTCATACATTTAAATTATTTATTCATACAGTTTTTTTTTTTTGTGAGAGAATAATATGTCTCAATCAAAAACCAATAAAAATTTGTGAAGAAATTCTCTTAGGGTGAGAACAAACTACAATTTTTTGCAATTCAAATCCGATGCTTTCATTGTTGGTCTTTGAAGCTTTTAAATACATTAAGAGTGAACTAAAAAAATTCATACTTTTAAACAACTGCGGTAATGGAAAAAAAAAATGAAATAAAAAATAGGATAATGGGATCAACTGCCTTGACCAGGTATGCTGCAACGACTATCTTTCTCACGTTCTACTGCTGCAGTGGTGTAACAGATAGGAGAAAAATAAATTACAAAAGAAAAAGAAAAAAAATATTATTCTCTTGATCCACCTTGCACTCTAAGTATGATTACCATTTGTAAATCTACTAATCAAGAGAAAAATTTATATATATTTTATCTATGCTCTTAAAGCATTATATGAAAGGTTTGAAGAAACCTTTAGAAATTGTAGTGTTTAGAAAGTACTAGTGAAATGTGTGCTTCACACTTTGATAAGTAGGCGGTTAATTTTAAGAGAACACTAGTGAAAGATGAGTTTGATACATTTATAAATAGGTGGATATTATTTGATTAATATGAGTGAATGGTGAACTTGATAT